GGTGTGTGTGTGTATGAGTGCGCGTGAGTTTTACGCATGATTTTATCACCCACACTTTTGTGTTTCTTCTTGATATTCATAATATGCATATTATTCTATGAACACAACATGCTTTATGGATAAAATACAACTGCTATGTGAAAGATTGGTGTTTGGAAGGGCCGAATGTAAGACGCGCCTGCGTGTCCAGTTTGTGATTCTTTAAAAAAAAAATCGTTCGTTCGTTTGTTTGTTTTGTCTGTCTGTTTTTTTTTTTCTGTCTGTCTCTCTTTCTTTTCGCCGACAGCTTTTTCTGTCTGTATCTCCGTTCACCCTTCTCCACCACCACCAAACGTCTTTCTATTAGTCTGTCTGCCTGCTTCTCTGTCCACCTATTTCCTTGTCCCCTTGTCTGTCTGCCTCTCTGCCTGTCTTCCCCCTTTGTCCGCATGCCCTTCTACCCACCTGTCTCCATATCTGTTTGTCTGCCTCCGCCTAACTGATCCTGAGCCTGTCTGCCTCTTTTCTTCACATCCGTTCTCTATCTAGGTGTTGCCGCTGCAATCTAGCTCAGACAGACACCTTACAACACAATACGACCTGTTCTCCTCCAGCTATGAAGTAATACATGCATGTCTTTGTCTTGCTCTCAAGTTTTGATTCAGTGCTTCTGTCAAATCCTCTTCTAATTTAATTCTAAAACCGTCCTTATTTTAGTTTTCACCTGTGCCAAGACACTCCTGGTGTCGGCTTTTTTTTTTTTTTTTTTTATTTAACAAATTCTAAGAATTCATAATGTATCTAGGTATCTAGGCTGCCAATGCTAAAGCAGCAATGCAGTAATGGTAAATATCTCCTCTGGTGTATCGCCAAAAACATTCCAATTTTAGAAGATCAATAAAATAGCCTGTTGTGCTGACAAGATTCAGACAACCTGGAAGATACCCATGCGATCCTCACAGAAAATACTTGGGTTGCAATTAGGTTTACAGCCGAGAGTATCGATTTTATTGTGTAAGGTTTTATTTATAATGGTTCGATCTCTCTTCTAAAAAAAAGGCTTAGTGAATCTCACACAAAACACGAACTCCGCTGCTTTGACAACGATCCCTAGAGCTATTCGTGAAAATAGCCCTCACTAACTAAATGCCGAGTTCATGAATAGAACCAACACCTTTCGCCACAGAGATGGATAGATGCATGCATGGGCAATGATTCGCACCCATTTAAACCCCCAAAACAATCTGATTTCCAACACTCACCCTAAGTGAGCAACAGACTACTTTGCTGCTGTTTATCATGCCCCAATGTAACAGTGCAACATGGCTACACGGTTCAATTTATGGTACCCTAGTGTAACAGTGCAGTATGCCTACGTGGTTCAGTTTTGTTGTGCCCCAAAGTAACAGTGCAATATGGGTGGACGTTCAATTTTGTTGTGTGCAAGTGTAACAGTGTAACAGTGTAATATACCTACACGGGTAAATTTTGTGGTGTTCCAGTGTAACAGTGCAATATGCCTACACGGTTCAATTTTTGGTGCCCTAATATAACAGTGCAATATGCCTGCACGGTTCAATTGTTGGCGCCCAAATGTAACACGGTTCAGTTTTGTGGAGCCTCAGTCTAACAGTGCAATATGCTTACGCGGTTCAGTTTTGTGGTGCCCCACAGTAACAGTGCAATATTGCTAGAAGGTTCCATTTTGTGGTGTCCCAGTGTAACAGTGCAATATACCTACACGGTTAAATTTTGTGGTGTTCAAGTGTAACAGTGCAATATGCCTACACGGTTCAATTTTTAGTGCCCCAATGTAGCAGTGTAATATGCCTACACGGTTCAGTTTTGTGGTGCCTCAATCTAACAGTGCTATTTGCCTACACGGTTGAATTTTGTGTGCCTCATTGTAACAGTGCAATATGCCTACACGGTTCAATTTTTTTGTGGCCCAAAGTAATAGTGCAATATGTTTACACGGTTCAATTTTTGGTGGCCCAAAGTAACAGTGCAATATGTTGACACGGTTCAATTTTTTTTGCCCTTAAGTAACAGTGCAATATGCCTACACGGTTCAATTTTTAGAGCCTCATTGTAACAGTGCAATATGGCTACACAGTTCAATTTGTGGTGCTGCAATATAACAGTGTAATATGCCTTTACGATTCAATTTGTGGTGCCCTAATGTAACAAAGCAATGCGCCTACACAGTTCAATCGTTAGTGCCCCAATGTAACAGTTCAATATGCCTACATGGTTCAATTTTTGGTGTCCCAGTGTAACAGTGCAGTATGGCTAGACGGTTCAATTTTTGGTGCACTGATGTAACAGTGCAAAATGCCTACAAGGTTCAATTTTTGGTGCCCCAATGTAGCAGTGCAATATGCCTACACGGTTCAATTTTTGGTGTCCCAAAGTAACAGTGTAATATGCCTACATGGTTTTTTTTTTTTTTTTTTTGGTGCCGTAATGTAACAATGCAATATTCCCACACGGTTCATTTTTGGTGCGCCAATGTAACTGTGCATCAAGACTTTACGGTTCCACAAAGTCTCTCGGATGTGTACACGTTTTGATTCCCATCCTTGAAACGTGAATCACGTAGACTGCAATCATGGAAAGGCGTTGGGGGGGGGGGGGGTGGGGAATTGGGTGGGGGGGGGGTGTCCCAATGATGTCTGATGAAAGCAATAGATAAAACAGTCGTACATTGAAAGATAATCACACAAGTGTCGAAAATTCAGCTGGTGAGATAGTTATATGCTTTCTTTCAAAGACTCGATTGGAACCCAAGAAGTTCGAGCCGACATGTCTAGCGACCACGCAATCTCAGCTTCCTAAAACTATTGTTATCCTGAAAATTTATACTCGGTAGCAGCTATTGTTTCTAGACTGCCCAACAACATTCAAAAGATTCCCCTTAGTGAACCCTCCAAGCAAACGTGGTTGCCACATTTGTACACCCGGTTCCAGATTCTCCCTTCCGCCCCACACGTACATGTAACCAGAGGCAGCAATGATACGTCTTTCTGTAGTGCGAACTCTGGAGAATTGGTCTCTCGAAAAGCTGTATTTGATTTAGTGCCAATGTTGACGCAGGAAGAATGAAATGTGTTCTTAATTCGGCAAATAGGCTCTAAGAGATGTTTCGAAAACACACCGTAGTCTGTGTAACTCCCTGATGTGGAACTGTATATGTCTGGCGTGACACGGGGGTGCTTCTGTAGCAAATTCTTCTTTAGGACACGCATGCGCAAGAATGGTTTAATAGGCGCAGGATACAAAGAAAGAGAAGTAACAATGGGGGAACACAGCTGATAATATAGAATATTATAAAAAGGTTTGCCCACATAGGGGGAAACTAATATTTTGTAAAATAATTAAAACGTAGAGTAGCGACTGGCCGAAGGACTATGAGCGCTGCTCTTAAATGCGGAAGACCTCGGTTCGAATCCTCGGCACAATTATCGAGGTATTTTTCTGAAGGGGGAAAAATCCTTAGCTGCACAGTCCGTGGCGACAGCAATAACCATGTGGCCCTAAATCCTAAGGCTCAAAGACCCATCGGCCTAAACTGCATTAGTGATACAAACGTCAGAAATAGCAGTTAGTGGAGCTTTGAAAAAAAAATATGGCGGAAAATGTGGCGGCTCACCCATGTATAATTCTAGGGTACGGGGACAGGGGAAAGATGGAGGTGTGGGGGAGGGGGGGTCCTTGCATGGCTACAGCCTTGTTGAAGATCCCAATAATAACTTAACAACAATAATAATAAACCCTATAATTTTACACACGCCGAAAAAGCGAATGCTGAGGCTACCCAGAGCTTTAACAATAAAAATAACACTCCGGCGTTGTGTAAACACAAGGAATTCATTATAAACTTGAAGTTACCCTAGTAAGTCACGTGACCATAATAAACATCCGGCGATCAGAAAAAATAATGCATCGAAAAGACCATTTGTATTTCAGTCTAATTTATTAGGTGTTTTGTCTCATTACGTATATTTGATGTAACTCTGTATTGAGGCACCTAACGGGATACAGCCAAAATTGCTTGGCCATACATATTGCAATGTAGTGCTTGTGTCCCTATTAATTTTTATTAATAAAAAAGTTGTTTGCTTATTCATTATGACAGGCATGTCAAGCTGTCGGCCCGCGGGCCTAATGCAGCGTTTTGCAAGCACAACTGCGGGCCGCACAAGGAAAACATTATCCAATAATTTTTATAAAATAACTTCAGTTTGCTGTCTCATGTGGCCCTCATGACGCCACAAATATGACCCATAAGTCCCCTGGGGTCCCTCAGTCTGACATTTGAGACGCCTTACTGGATGTTACAGAACCAACACCAGCACTTGTTGGCCTTTTTTTTTTCTTACTGGGCAATTTTACATTCAGTATTTTGTCACTGCTTTTTCAACTGACGGTTTTCGATACAATTGTCTAAACCAACGTAAAGCTACCTGCTGCCAAATCGCCTGCAGCTGGAATTGAAATGGGTATCTTGCAGTCGCCAAGCACTCTTGCAAGGCCAATCCACAGAGATCTACAACAGTTCTAATTTGTTATCATTATTTATGCTGAATCGCAAACAAATACGTAACAGTATATCAGAAATATTTTGAAATAGGTAGATAAATACATAAAAACGATCATAAAGTAAGAATGTTATTGGAATGGGGGGGGGGGCGCTCACGGGGGGGGGGGGTGGAAAGGGGAAGGGACAAGTTGGACGATTGCGTATCTTTTAAGAGAGCAGGAGGGCTCAGCTCTCCCTTCCCCTCCTCCCCCTAAAAAAGGTTCGCCTATTGACTCGCCGGTAGACAACTTCGTCGCCTGTCGGGGCAGTATTTGAGACTGTCTCCTTTGATCGCTTAACACTGCAGTCGTTTACAGGGTATTTGCTAATGTGCAATGTTAGGCTTTCTTAAATGGCGCACACAGCCTAGGCACAAATATAACCTACAGCTCCCCCTTTCAAGGACGCTGGTTAAACATGACGATTTGTTTTATCAAAA